GCACCAAATGTCCTCGAGATGTAGCAGGGAGGAGAGATGAAGAACCGGATGAAATGACTGCACATCTCCAGAATCACAAGAAAAATAAGGAATGAAAGGACAAGAAAAAAATGGAGGAGGAAAAGAAAGAAAGAATGAATATCTATCACCAATAACTACTGAAAGAGTTCCTGAACACAACAATACCCACCTTCAACAACAAAACCTCAATAGAGAAAGAAGTAAAATAAAATGTATGGCTTGCATGATGTAATATTTCTGCTGATGTTGGTGCCAGGGCCAAAGTCTGCCCTCACTGTCATGCATTCTTATTCCCTGGAGAAACCACCAATTTCTACTGTATAAAGGGAAAGGTCATGATAGGCCATTTGAAACCTCTACCTTATGAACTTCTTAATTGATACAGTAATGATGAACCTATTGCAAACAAATTCAGGAGAACATTAGACTATACAACTGCCTCTTTTGGTGCCAAAGAAGTTCTTCCAATGAAGAATGGATGGAATCCTTCTGAGATTACTCAACGGCAAATCCATCATTACATTGGACATTTAATGCCAAGCTCCAACCAGCAAAACAGATTTATTTCAATGTATTCAATGATACTCAAAACAGAGTAAATTGAAAATTGGTATATTCCACAATGATGGAATGAGATTGTTGAATTATTGAAGACGCTGTACATTGTGTCCCTTCGACTTGCAAAAGAACAAATTTGAGACATGCCAGAGGCTTCCACTGTCATTGATCCTGACCAGAAGTCAGCATTTGAACATGAGAGATTTAATGCACAAATTGGCAATGATCCTTATACCAAACAACATTGAAACTAAATCAGAATCACAGCACATTGTTGCTAGACGAGGAGATAGTTTGCAAATAATTTTAAAATCCCGTTGCTGCTATGACAGCTTTCATCTTGGAGATCATGGCTAGTATGACAACAAGAAAATAATGGCAATGTGTTATTATGCATATTGAATAATGAACCATGAGAATGAGCTTAATCTTCTAAGAGGAGAACATCTATTCCAACAATATGTGGTTAATATGGCTGCTAAGATTAAATATGAAAAGCTAAGTTACATCTAAATGAATCAAGTAACCTTGAGATCAACAGCGGACAAAGCCTTTACTGATACATTGAATAGTGTGACTGATTTTAGGATCCTTGGAAGGTGCATCATCCTCTTTTCAACATTTCTTGGTGAATCAAGATATATAATGGAACAATGACAAGATTGTATTATGTACTGTATCTACTTAATGCTTTATTTTTCATTATTATTCAAGCTAGCCAGAAATATGACAGCATATTTTTTTAATTAGCAGCCAAATGATCAGCTAAATTTAACCACAATAATATTCATATTGAAGAAAAAATTGTTCATGAAATGCCTCACTGGAACACATGACCTCTTTGCTTACATGCTAAGTGCGGAGTACCAAAAGAGAGATCTATCTCATTTGCACTGATGGCTATGTTTTGATGAAGTATCCATGTCAAGCGCACAAGAATATGATACATTTATGCAAGCCAAATTACAAAACCTAAATGAAGATACAGAGTTACATAAATTGGCATTGAAGTGCATGATCCATGGTCCATATTACAGCGGAAACTCAGTGTGTTAGAAAAATGGTACTGAGCCATTAAATGAGTATACAAAGTTTGGTGATGATACATATGGATAGAGGGAACACTCTTCAGAAGTGGGAGGTATTTGAAGGACATCAAACAGGATGATAGAGATCTTAATGCTATAGAGTTACCCTATCTTCCCTAAGCAAAATGGCAAGCAGTTCTGCAGATCAGCTAAGGACAAATGATGTCTGACAGTCCCTGCTAGCTTCCCTAAATAACTTCAATGGGGAAGCTGGCAAAATGTGGTTGTCACTTCCAGTGCCTGCCTATAGTTATTCTGTTTATCTATTTAGGTAAAGAAATATCTTTCAAAGGATGATGTGATGTCATGGGTTGTTCAGTTCTCCTAAAATCTTGAGTCCTCATTACCTTTGGTACCTTCTTTTTCAGGGGGAATCAGTCTATTCAATATATTCTGCTGAGTGGCATATCGTGGATCTGTGTGTGTGTGTGTGTGTGTGTGTGTGTGTGTGTGTGTGTGTGTGTGAGAGAGAGAGAGAGAGAGAGAGAGAGAGAGAGAGAGAGAGAGAGGGGTTTCTTTGTCACAGTCCTTTCACATTTGAATAGCCTTTTCCCTATATCATTCTGGAATAAAGTAAAAACAATGCATTTCTTTTAAAAAAGCTTTGATGAAGACAGTATCACCTAACTAAAAGTAGCTACCAAGTGAAAGTTGGCTGACTAAGCTTAAAATTATGTTTAGTTTACTGCGGCTATTTTTAATTTGTATTTTATTTGCTGGATATAATCTGCTAGAAAGAAAGAAAGAAAGAAAGAAAGAAAGAAAGAAAGAAAGAGAAAGAAAGAAAGAAAGAAAGAAAGAAAGAAAGAAAGAAAGAAAGAAAGAAAGAAAGAAAGAAAGAAAGAAAGAAATCCATTGAAGAAATGAGAACCAGCTTGGCATAGTGATTTAAATGACTGGGCTGCAAACCAGGAATCTAAATTCTAATCTTGTCTTAGACACAAATGATTAACTTTGGGGCAATCCTTCTCTATCAACCCAAAGAAGAAGACAGTGACAAACCGCTTCTGAAAATGTTGTCTAGGTGGTCACCAGGAGTTGACAAGACGAGGGAGGGAGGGAGGGAGGGAGGGAGGGAGAAAGACACTGCGGAATACCATTATATTTCAAGGAATTTAGTGATATTTTTTATTTCACTTTCATTAAGAAAACTATAGAAGTTTAGGGTTCATTTTGAGTTATGTGTAATCAGCTTTCTGACTCTTGCTTGAAAAGGACAGGATGAATCTTCACACAGTTCTAAAAATCCTCAGGTTTCTTCGGTTTAACACTGGTTTATCAGTAAAGTTCTCAGAACTGTCATTCCTACCCCATAATTATGCATCATCTAGTCAAGGTCAGCTCCTTTAGTTTAATTACAATGGCAGCAGGGGCAGAAACTTTGCCATTATATTTTACTGAAAACCCTAGAAGCCTTTGAGCTTCAGGATAGGATTGAGCACTCAGTGCTGTGCAAGACATGACTTTTGACATTTCTTTGCTGTTGCCACAGGGGCTCCCAACAGCTGAAGTGAGAGCATTTTGCTTGGAATATTAGGCCTTTATGCTTCTGTTTACATCTCTTGCTGAAGTTATTAGTAAAGCTTGAGATCGCCTTATGTACTGATGTGTTCCTTGTCCCTGGATCTTCAAAGAACCAGTTGTTTGACACCTAGACACTGCCTGATACTTGGAAAAATAGAAGGCTGAATTGTTTACTAAAGAATTTCCTTGTTAGGTTTCTTCATCTTTGAAAAACAAAATATAACATTACAGGAATCCACATGTAGAAGCTATTAACTATTTCTCCCACTTTGTACTCTCACTTCCAAGTTTTCTATACTCCTACTTACATGAGGGCAAAATATGTTAAACTAAACCTAGCTCAGCCACCAATACTTTATCATTATAGCCTAAAGAAATATTCATTTGTTACAGAGTGGTGGCTAAATGTCTGGTTCTCTAACCTACCATAACTCATTTTTCGCTTTATCTATCATACTTTTAATTTATTCTTCTTCCAAATTTTTCTGTTAGTACTCTTTGAATTCTTCTAGATTTTCTAGTCTTCTCAACTATTTCTCCATTCTAGTTCCACAACAGTTCAGTTCAATATAATTGACATACAGGAAATGAGAACACTTGAGAAGAATTTAAGAATTTCAGCAGATTGGGGGAGACCTAAATAGATTAGATGTGATGTGGAGTATTCTGCAAAATTTCATTTAGTTTCATTGATTCATTTTATTAATTTATATTAACATGAGGAGGGCTCAATCAACTTTGAGAGCCAAAGGCTACCCAGGGCAAAGTACTTACTCAAAATGGCTGATATCTGAGGAGGCCTGAAGCTTTTCTGTTAGATTTGCTTTTCATGTATGTCTGTGTGTTTGATTTTTACCCTATAATTTAGGCCAATGTTATAGTCTTCATATATTTCTTGAATCAGAATGATAGAAAAGAGAAATTTAGTGGCTTTCAAGCGTGGCAGACATCTTAAGATAAGCATGGGTGGATAGAGGTAAAAGGAAACTTACAGAAATTATACTATAAAATAATATTCATTGTTCTTGCATAAAATGTTAATTCTAAAAAGAGTGGATTTATAGCTACTATTGAACAAAAATTGAATAAGAATTAGTACATATGTTATGATCAATAGACACACAAGTTGATGATGCCATTACAGTCTCCTCCTGCTCCTGTAGATTTCAGGTGATGAATTCACTTCATTTGATGTACACAAACAGTAGGCATCACATTGTTTGGAACAAGGTGGAGCAAACTATCAAACTACTCTCTGTAATAAGGAACTGAAATAATCCATAAACAAATTAACTAGGCACTCACGTGACTCTTCTCCAGCACATATCTGATTTTCTTAAGAACACTTAGTGCTTGCAGCTAGGAATATTTTTCATGCTCTTTGCGTAGTGAACTTCTTAGAATTGAATGGTGTTCCTTTGCAGGTCCTGATAAATTGTTAACTCACTCAGTGCATTAGAATTTACCCTGGATAGTAACATCTTGTTGCAAGTTTCTTGGCAGTGTCAGTTACATTTTTCATGAAGGGAAACACCTAAACTATGTTATCTTCATTCCTTTAAGGTATTTTAGCAGGATTTTTGTGATTTTTTTCTGTAATTAATGTATGTTTTTTTTATCTTGGTTTTGTCTTTTTTATTGATGTTGTTGTATTATTTTAAGGAAATGTTATTATTACAGGTAGCTTTGGGATTACAAAGATGAAAACTATATAGTTATTCAGGGATAGTATACTGCATGCACAAGGACTAGGAGACATGCTCACTTGTCTTAAAATCACATAAAATATTTCAATGTTTTGTTTTACAGGAGGATGAAAATGAAGCTGAAGGAAAACATCCCTCTCAAGAGATAAACATGGAACAGAAAAATTCCAAAAAATAGAAATATCATTCCTCTTTGAAACATGTTTTCAAAAAATTAAATGTCATTCCTCTTTTAAATGTGTTAAGTAGTATCCAAGTGATTAATGTGTCTCATTGTAAAAATTATAGAACATTCCCAATAAAAGACATTGGAAATTAAAATGTATCTTACTCTGAGGAATTGTTTAAATGACTCTTTATAATATTTATGATTAATAAATCATGATTTTTTTATTTCTCTGTCATACACACACACACAATATAAAAGCATTAGAATTATGTGCAGTATAATCTTTGTCATTTTTTTGAGATACAAATTTATTGAAATTCTTCATTGTGTTATTTAAGGTAAATGGTGAAAGACTCAGTAGCATTCAGAATGTATCCCATATCCCACAGCATTTCTATGTGGTTAGTAATTAATTTTGGTAGTTACAAATTTTAATAATTAGGTAACTATATATAACTTTTTTCTGAATTGAAATAATTGTAGACATCACATTATTTCAATAATAAAATATAATTCTTTGCATCCCGTCTGAGTAATTCATGTATTTAGCAAACCATGTTGGGTTAGCTCAAAATAAAAATTCAGCTGTTGTTTGTTAAATGATAGTTTATAACTTTATATTTGCTTAATAAAGCATAACTAAAACTAACCAAAGGTAAAGGCAATGTGTAAATCTAAATTATTTTCTCAGCTTGAATTGAATTCTCATTGTGGATGTTCATGTTACATTTCCCCTCTGTTCCTTTCAGGTCATATTTTACCTAGCATCTGTTTTCACTTCTGGATAGAAAATGTATCTTTTAATCCAGCATTATTATTACTGACCTAAGAAATTTGCAAAACACTTGGAGGCTTCGTATGACTTTTAGATGTTGATTTTCAATTTGATGAAAAGAAATTTTAGATTGATGGATCAGTTTTTTAAATTTTTGTTTATTTATCAAATTTATTTGCTACCCATCTCATAGTTAAGATAAAACAAACATAGTTAAGATAAAACAACCCACAGCACTCACTCTTACCTGAAGCTTGTTATCCCCATCCAGATCCCTACAGCCTCCAAAGGGCAGCCACAGCATTACTTGGGTCAGTGGGTGGAGATGTAAAGCTGAGTGTCATCAGCATATTGATGGTATTTCAGTCCATAGTGTTGGTTGATGTTATCCAGCAGTTTCATGTAGATGTTATAAAAGAGAGAACACTAAGCCCTTTGGCACTCCACAAAGTAGCGACTGTGGACTGGACCTCTTGCTCCCTACCGAAACTGATTGGAACCACCCGCAGAGAAAGGAACTGAACCAGTGCAACACTGCACTGCCCAGTCCCAAATTCCACAGCCAGCCCAAAAGGATGCCATGGCCAAAAGCTGTCAAGAGGTCAAAGAGAGCAAGGATGGATATATTACCTCCATCCTGTTCTCACCAGAGATCATCAACAAGTGCAATCAGTGCCATTTGTATCCCATAACCAGGTCTGAAACCTGACTGAAAAGGGTCTTGATAATCCATAACATTCAGGATCCTCTGGAGCTGTGATGCAACCACTTTTTCCACCACATCCCTAGAAAGGGAAGGTGGGAAACTGGACAAAAATTGTCCGGTACAGTGAGATCTAATGAAGGCTAATTTTATGTTTAAATTGGTTAAGCTATAATATTTTCTTTAAAAAAAATATGTAATAATGATTAAGCATCTTCTCATTGTGAGGTGACCTTTATAGTTTATTGCCTTTATTCATGGAAGTTCTGTGGCTATACCATTTGCCTTTGCCAACAACTTTCTTTGCACCCAGCTGCACTTGGAGCATATTCAATGTCTTATTTGTACTTTTGCTGTTAGATAAATCTATTATTATCTCCACTTTTCCATTATTTGGAACTGACACAAATAGAGCTGTGCAGTGACAATCATTCTTTCCTTTAGCAATTACAAGGCATGTACATATTGTACGTAGAACACCAGTACAGGAGAACACTGTATCATCCCTATCTTTTTTAGGAAAGTGGTATTTTTAACTATTGCCACAAGGCCATATGAAAGGTTGTAACTTAACTCTAATCTTAAGGGAAATGGTTAAGAAAGCTTTCAGGCTCCAAGCTGTTAGCACTAAATTGAGAGGCCAGCATTAGCCCTGATGACACACATTCCCTTTGTCCTCTCATTCAACATCAAACTTGCCTCTTACTCTACAAGCTGCCATCCATATATACATAACTACTACTGAAAATGGAGTTTGGGGATGGAAAGATGAGGTGCAAAATGTACACCCTCCTATCTTTTGATTGCCCCTCTTATCAAACATGTTTTTATTCTCTCCAGCTCAAGAAAAGAAATGTTACATAAGAGGGTTTGGAATACCATCTGTCCCTCAGCAGGATAACTCACTGAAGCTAAAATGGAATGAAACAAATCCAAATGTCGGATCGTGGGAGATATACAGGCAAAATAACTGTCAAGGTCAAAAGATTCTAGTCGTGGTTTGGGCCTGCAAGGGAAAATTTTTTTCCCGTGGAGGAGACATTGGGCTAGTGGCTTAGAATGCTGGTTGCTCTCCATTCTATATCCTCTTTTTTTCTGACATGACCCAAATTGGTGCTGTTATGAATAGGTTGCAAAGAAATCCAGAAATACCCTACATGTTCTTTCCCATCTTATGTATAGAGAGATCTGAGATCTAGTCCACCTTCAAGCAAGGAAGTTCACCAGGTGACTTTGAGCCAGTTATTCATTCTCAGCCCAGTCTGCTTCATAAGGTGGTTGTTGTAAGGAAAAAAATAGGAATAGCACTATACAGTATATCCTACCTTGAGTTTCTTAATATGTAAAGACATTTAAAATAAATGAATAGTCTATCTTGACCTGAAATAGAAAAGAATGGGCAAATATTTATCTTTCAGTTTTGCCATATGTTTTGGCCTGTTTACTGAAATATTTATGAATTTGCATGAATTTTCATATATTTTCATTGCACGTTGCTCCCAGTAATTACATTTAGTGTCTACTTTCCCGCAATATGCTTCTTTGTGTGTGTGTGTGTGTGTGTGTATTCTGTTTTGCTTCTGTTTTGTGTTATGAAGTGCATTTTTTGGCATGCAATTGCATTTTAGGTATAGGTTTGGGAATAAAAATCCAATTCCTATAAAACTTAAGATCAAATTAATTTTTCTTTCTTCCCATCAACTGAACATGCCAGAAAGTGAACTGGAACTTTCTTCATGTGACACACACCATTCCACTGACTACTTAATATCCTTTTTGCAAAGGGAGCTGCTTTAGCAATTCTCAGTTTCATACAGCTTTCATCCTTCTAGTTTCTTTACATTACACATAGAGATAATCATTAGATGAAATACATATATGAATATGCTTCCCAAAATATACAAACAGAACATGAATCTCTTTGAAGTTTATTACCAATCACTTCTCAGAACTATTAAAACTTCCTTTTTTCCTAAAATATGTTTATAACTGTCTGCCTTTCATTTTAAAAATGTCAAATTATAGATGTATTGAAGAAATAATATTACTAAAAGAAATACCATAGTTAACAGCAGTTGAATTGGTTACAACACTGGGTAATGCTAGCAAAACAATAACAATTCAGTTAAAAGTTTTGGCAAGGATGACCTTTTTTAATTTTTAGAATCAATATATTACTCTTTATTTAAGAATACAGTTCTTGATTAAAATTATCTGTTTATAAGAAATAAACAGTAGAAAGAATACACCCAAAACTGATAATGTTAGAGCTGCTACTCAGTAGAAGGAAAGCATCAAAAACTTAACAAAATGAAGATGTTTTTAATTTGAATTATAGGTGAAACAATCAAATGTAAATCTTATTAATCATAGGAGGGTACACCAAAGAAATAACTTCCCATTGAAAGGTTATTTTCTGATTATTGCCTGCCTGCTTGCCTTTTAATGTAGGGATATTACTGTTCAGTTTGATTTTAATAATCAGGCAAAGTTATATGGAAGAAACAGTTGCTCTGACTTTACACCGTTAAATGTCAAAAGCAATCTCTTGGAATTCTATCTGGAATTAGCAGTCAATGGCATTCTGAACAAATTTTAAAGGCAGCTGATTGTGATATCCCTTATTCTCAGAAAATAGCAAGAAGTTAGAAAAGTTGATAAAGTAGACCACAACCTACTCCTTGGTAAACCAGAAAAAGGTGGAATAGACAATATCACCACCAGATGGATCTGTAGCTGGCTAGCAAACCATACTCAACAAGTAGTCCTCAATGACACTACATCCACATGGAGAGAAGTAAGCAGTGGGGTACCACAAGGCTCTGTCCTAGGCCCAGTACTCTTTAATACCTTCATCAATGACTTAGATGAGGGAATTGAAGGCGAGCTCATCAAATTTACAGATGACACCAAATTGGCATGAGTAGCCAACACCCCCGAAGACAAACTCAGGATCCAAAAAGATCTTGACAAACTTGAATAATGGGCCCTATCCAACAAAATGAGTTTCAATGTGGAGAAAAGCAAAGTCGTACACCTACGCAGGAAAAACCAAAAGCACAAATACAGATTGGGCGAGACCTGGTTTAAAAACAGTAACTGTGAGAGGGACCTTGGAGTCCTAAAAAACGATCACTTGACTATGAGCCAGCAGTGTGCAGCAGCAGCCAAAAAGCTAATACAATCCTGGGTTGTATAAACAGAGAAATCAAGATCACGCAAAGTATTAGTAATGCTTTATAAAACCCTAGTAAGACCACACCTGGAATACTGCAGCCAATTTTGGTTACCATATCACAAAAAAGATGTTGAGAGTTTGGAAAAAACCTCTTAGAGCAACTAAGATGATCAAAGACCTGGAGACTAAACCATATGAAGAATGGCTGCAGGACTTGAGTTTGGCTAGTGTAAAGAGGAAATAGGGAGATATGATATCAGTATTCCAGTATTTGAGGGGCTGCCACCACGAAGAGGGGGTCATGTTATTCACCAAAGCACCAGAGGGCAAAGCACCGTGGTGGCAGCCCCTCAAATACTGGAATACTGATATCATATCTCCCCTATTTCCTCTTTAGACTAGCCAAACCCAAGTCCTGCAGCCATTCTTCGTATGTTTTAGAAGCAATGGTTGGAAACTGATCAAAGAGAGAAGTAATCTGGAATTAAGAAGAAACTTCCTGGCAGTGAGGACAATTAACCAATGGAACAGCTTGCCTCCAGAAATCGTGGGTGCTCCATCACCTGAGATTTTTAAGAAGAGGCTAGACAGTCACTTATCTGAGATGGTATAGGTTCTCCTGCTTGAGCAGGGGGCTGGACTAGAAGACCTCCAAGGTGCCTTCCAGCTCTATTCTATTCAGAACAGGCCCTGAAAGGCAGTGAATTCATGGATTTGGACCCAGCATGCCAAGCAGGAAAGCTACAAGCTCAATACCAACTCAGGTTTCTTGGAATGATCTCCAAACCTGTCGGAGCAATGTCATTACCAAGTAGACAAAGGACTGAAATCCTAAAATACAAGATTGCAAGGAAAGCCTTCATCCAGAGTAAGTTATATTCATGCCAGAAGGTGAAAGCCTGAAACCTTCTATATAAATCTCTCCACAAGAGAATAATCTTGTTATGCTTTCTGAAATGCCATGACATACCTTGCATTCTGCTTTGGAATTGGCTCAGTT